TTAACCAAAAAAAAAAAAAAAAAAAATCATTTTTATGTAATTCAGAAAAGGTTTTTCATATTATTATTATTAAATGTATAAAAAGTTTGAATTTAAAAAAGTAAATGTCTGAGTATATATTAAGTAAATAATATTACCGTATGGACTCGAGAACGGTCTGTCTGTGTTCGGCCGCCTTCAGTCGGATCTGTTCGCGGATGATGTCAGCGTTCTCTCGCTCCACACGCGCGCGAGCTTTAGACTCCGCCTCCACGCGCAACATCTCGTTCTTGTGCCGCAGCTCCATCTCGTGCTCAACGGTCGCTATGGAAACACACACGCAATCACGTTCAGATGACGAAGAACACAAGCGGCGATTTCTTCAGAATGACATCAGTCGGCCTGACCTCTCCTCATGGCTTCCTGTTTCTGCACGGACTCTTCCTGTTTGCGCAGGTTCTCCTCGTTCAGGAGTTGCTGTGGAAGAACAGAGGCGTTAGACTGACGCATGTCAATCAGGAGTCAGAGAATCTGCAGAAACGCACCTGCTGCCGGAGCTGCTCGTCGTACCGCTGCCGCGCCAGTTTGTCCTGATACTGCGCCCTCTGTGGATGAAACAATCTTCACCATCATCATAACATCACCATCATAACATCACATGATCATCACCATCATAACATCACATGATCATCACCATCATAACATCACATGATCATCACCATCATAACATCACATGATCATCACCATCATAACATCACATGATCATCACCATCATAACATCACATGATCATCACCATCATAACATCACATGATCATCACCATCATAACATCACATGATCATCACCATCATAACATCACATGATCATCACCATCATAACATCACATGATCATCACCATCATAACATCACATGATCATCACCATCATATCATCACCATCATCATCACATTACCATCATCATCACAATAATCATCGCCATCATAACATCACATCATCACTATCATCACCATCATCATCACAATCATCATTATCATCACATCCCCATCATCATCATCGCCATCGTAACATCACATCATCATTATCATCACCATCATCATCACAATCATCATTATCATCACATCTCCATCATCATCACATCCCCATCATCATCATCGCCATCGTAACATCACATCATCACCATCATCATCACCATCATAACATCACATCATCATTATCATCACCATCATCATCACAATCATCATTATCATCACATCTCCATCATCATCACCACCATCATCATCGCCATCGTAACATCACATCATCACCACCATCATCACATCACCACCATCATCATCACCATCATCATCACAATCATCATCGCCATCGTAACATCACATCATCACAATCATCATCACCATCATAACATCACATCATTATCATCACCATCATCATCACAATCATCATTATCATCACATCTCCATCATCATCACATCACCACCATCATCATCATCACATCACCATCATCACCACCACCACGCCCATCATCATCATAACATCATCATCATTATCACTAGGGCTGCACGATTAATCGAATGTGATTGTCATGCGCATTTTGTTAGTAAAGCCGGTTCTGTAATCAGCAGTAAATCAGCATCACGTGCTTTCAGATGGAGCAGCATTTACTACACAGAGCCGTAGCTCACTGACAAGTTACGAAAAAAAATCGCAGATGATTTTATTGCGCGATTATGAAATCGAAGAAATCGTTCGCGATAATGACAGCTATTTGCATAGCTTCTCAGTGAACTACGGCTCTGTGTAGTAAATGCTGCTCCATCTGAAAGCATGTGAAAATACCACATTTAATAACATGGTTTTAGTCCAAACTCACTTCATAACGTCAGTCGAGTGTTTGAAATAAATTTGCCATAGTCGTGTGTTTATTAGTCACGTTGAATCAATGAAAGCAGTTGAATCTTCTGTTTATTCAGCTGCAGATAGGCATTTTCTGGGTTTCTTCTGCGAGGCGTATTTGGAGTTTCTCTGGCCTTTGGATGGAGATTTACTACTGATCACAGAACCGTGCTTCACTGAAAGATACGCATTACAATCGCAGCTTCTGTCGAATCGCCATCTCGATTCCATTTCGATTTATCGTGCAGCCCTAATCATCACCATCATCATGTGCTCACCGCCTGGTGCTGTTTGGTCTCCTCGTTCAGAGTCCTCCTGCGCTCCTCTGCCTGGATGCGGATCTGATCGCCCTTCAGCTGCTCCACTGCCGCCTCGTACTCCTGAAACACACGCAACACAGTGGAAAAGTGTCGCTATTCTGCATAAAGTTAAACCAGGAAAAAAAGAATAAACAATAGGAATCTGTTGTGTCTGTGGCAGTTTTTATTAATTTATGAAGGTGCTGCAAATTAAATCATTATGTAGGCTATTCTATCATAATTCTACAATGCTATTTTGAACATTCAACATTTGCATTAAGGTTTTCTACTTCTTTTTTTGGACATCCGTGTCAACTGCGGGATATAACAATAAAACAGGCCATCACAACTTTATCTCGCTATTCTGACTTTTTCCTTGCAATTGAAAGAAAAAAAGTCTGATTTGTGAAATAAAGTCACAATTACCTCTTTTTTTTTTATTCCATGGCACATGGAATACAGCACTTACATGTTGATGCTCTTCTGTTGTTTATGATTGCTTCTATTTTCCTCATTTGGATCAAAGTGTCTGCTAAATGACTAAATGTAAATAAATATGAAAGTATTTGATTCATTCTCATGGAGTCCTGAAAAAAATTATTATTATTAATGATCAAAATAAATATTTTAAAAAATGTCAGATGTTCTTTATACATCTCGCAATTCAGAATAGTTTTCTGTAAATAGTGTGTAGTGCAGCTGTGGTTCAGCGGATGAGTGACCCGGATGTGCTGTACCTTGACGCGGCTGTGGTGCTCCAGCTGCACGCTCTGCTCCTGCATGCGCGCCAGATCCAGCGCCTCTTTGGCGTGACCTGCGGTCACAGGGGTCAAGCATCATCAAACAGCACTGACCTGTGACCTAATGCCCTTCATACGCTCGCGACACAGTGAATGAAGCGTCACGACGCGTTACTCACGCGATCGGTCCAGCTCTTTGGCCGCCTGCGCCGCGCGCTCCAGCCCGGTCGGGTCGAAGTTGCTCCATTTGTCCTTGGGTTTGTCACCCGAACCGGAGCCGGAGCCGCCGGCCGGAGGAGGAGGAGGAGCGGGCGGAACCGGAGCGCCGCTCTGGCCTTTATTGAGCCCGAAGAGCCACGACATGATCCGCTGACAGACGCTGAAGAACCGGCCTCACACGCTTCCACTGCACGAGTGTCACGCCGCGCTGCGCTGATTGGCTGACGCGCTCGTCCTTCAGAAGGGCAGGGGGGAGGCCACGCCCCTCGACGCGTCAGCGCGGCTCTTGCGTCAGATTGTAGCGTCACGTGCGGAAGTTTCCAAGGCAACGTTTCTCATTTGTATTCTGATGTACTAAACTAAATAATAAAATAAAATAAAAAATCGAATAAAAATGACAAAAACACAAAACAAAATCATCGAAACTTTAACTGAATTAAAAATGAACATATTAATAAAAGCTATAATTGTATGTAAATGATAGTAAGACAGTGTTTTGCTGTAATTTGATAAATTGCGTTATTTTACAACATTACCAGGAAGTTAATTCACACAGTCTGTATTAATATAATTATGAATGTTTATTCATCTGACAGTTCATATTAGAAAAACCGAAAGGTACCGTATAACATATAATAAAATACATTAAAAAGTAATAAAACTCCATGAACATATTTAAAACAACAAAAAATGACAAACACACAATTAACTATAATTAAAATGAAAGCAGAAAATATACAAATAAAATAAAAAAACTATAACAGTATTCCACTGATACTAAAATAACACTGGTTACAGAGAGATAATGCAACTTTTACTATGAATTATTTAACTGATTAAATATTTGACAGATTTTTTATAACAGTACATCATCTGCACGAGCTGTGAAATATAATAATGTATTAGAAGAAATGAAAACACCTCAAAACGTTAGACCAAAGCTCGTTTACATCTCATCTCAGTCATATATTCATGTTTAATTGTATTGCATTTATTAATCGCTACATAACGTTAGATAATAGTCACATATTTACATTTATATGGAGATATTTTAATCATTTTCCACAATAATTTAATGTGCAATAAGTAACTATCATAATAAAAAAGACATGATCTTTAGGTTGCTGAATCTTATATCACTGTAATTGTTCAGTTTATTACTGTGAAGCTGCTTTGAATCGCTCTGTACTGTATGAAGACATGATTATGATTATAAATAGAACACAGCAGCCATTAAACAGGAAAATGCTTTAATGATATTCATAAACACACACAAACAGACTTATTTACAGACAGACGGTCAGCAGGTCACATGATCAGCTGCGCTGTGATTGGCTGGCGGAGGCGCAGCTCTGTGACGCAAGAGACATTGCGTTAGTAGTAAAGTAACGTCACACATTACAACATGAATAAATCATTGTGAAAATTAATAAAGTTGAATTCATTAAATAAATTAGAAATAAAGTTTAAATTTATGAATGTAAGCATGTGTAGCCAACTCAGTTCAAAAGAAAAGAACGAGATAGAAAAGAGAGAAGGTAGAATCAGTGAATACTGTTAATACTGACAAAAAATAACAGGGTTAAGTGCAAATAAAATCCCTATTTTTCATGCCTTAGAATTGTATTAGTTTTATTACATACTAAATTGGTTGATGTTTCTCTTCTTAGTCTTCTTTGTTGGGCTTGAGAAAGCCTACATATATTTAAACATTATTATTATTATTTATTATGAGAGTAATTGACACCGACTAGAACTTTAATGTTTCACCAAATTCAGCTCAGACCTTCAGACTCGTCTGACTCGTGTTGCTGTATCTTTTCTAACTGGTCGGACTTACCTTCCCAAAAAATCCTATTGACTTTCGTTATCTGAGCAGTGAAGGCCTGAATACTTCATGTCCACTAGAGGGGCGACAGGATTACAAAACTTTTTTCCTGTTTACATCAGTTTAAATGACAAATAAATACATGAATTTCATGTGTACTGCCATGAATATGCCATATCTGTGTACAAGAACAAGCTTCACACTTCAAGCTGTCCAACTACTTAAAACTTCCCATTCTGGCTTCTTCAAACCATCTCCAAGTTTCTTTTAAGATATTGTTTATTCACACTGGTTTATGCATTTAATGTTTGTCCGTCTGGAACTTTTATTTTTCATGAGTTCTATATTTTAAGATGTACTAGGTGTTGATAAATCACATGCAATGAATGCAAAGAGCTAATGTCAGGGCTCTCAGTCCTGCTCCTGGAGGGCCAGTGTCCTGCGAAGTTTAGCTACCCCAAATAAACACACCTAAGCTAAGCAAGGTCTTCAGGATCAGTAGCAATGTCCAAGCAAGTGTGTTGGAACTGGCTGGAGCTGGACTCCGCAGAACATGGTTCTTCAGGTTCAGGACTGGGTTTTATGTAAAATATCTATAAGTATTATAAATCTATAAATGAATTTGCACAGTTGGGTGTCTGCATGCAGAGGTGTACGTCAGTAAGTACAATGGAAAATGTAATCTGTAAAAACTTTATTCAATCTTCACAAAACATGCAAACAAAACTGCAATGTTTTAGAAAACTATCACATTTGCACATACCCTGCTTGAACCTTACTAACTGAACAAATTTTACTGCAGGATTTCATCTCCTATTTGGAATGCAATAACGAGAAATGGAAAAACGGCTCGTTTATTCGTTTTTCCGTTTAGTTTAACAAACGGAAAATGAGATTTTGGCTCGATTTCTCATTTTTCGTTTGGGGTTTAAAAATCGGTTTATGGCTTCAATATTTCATTCGCACGTGTGGGCGGCGCTGAAACGCTCCTTTCATCTGATTGGTCGAATCGCTCCGCCTTCAGTACGGCCTTTTCATTCTTTCAGGCAGAATAAGAGTCAGTACGAGTGCGGCACTATAATGTCTGAAACCACCACTCACTGTTAATTACGCATAATATTTTAATCAGATTTTGCTGGGCACATAATTCGTGCTGCTGCGACTTGCAAGTGACCCCTTTAATGCGAGTTACAGTATGCTGACAGATTATTTCTAGGTAGCCTATTAGTATTGTATGAATATTGTCCCATTGATAAATACAGTGCAAATAGTTCCGTCTCTTTTTATTTTACTGCAGGAAGTGGAAAAAAATGCAAACTATTCTACATAGAATTACACAAAACTCTTAGTGGCTTCAAGAACATTAGAACATTAGATGTTACTGCAGGAAGTGGGAAACTGCATACTGTTACACAAAACTCTTAGTGGGTTCAAGAACATTGGATAGGCCTGCAACTTCTGTGATGACAAAATCTTCAGATCTGCATTTAGGGCACTGCCTTGAGGTCTCCATCCACTGGTCAATACAGACCTTGCACCTCACCACACTCCTGCAGCACGAGGTGAATACAGGTTCTTCAATGATAGCTGGGGGGGGTTATGTTTTGGAAAACAGCAAGTCAAATGTAGAATAGGGGCCACACACTTGCACTGAATGTAGCATTGAATAGACTGAACATTAGCAATACCCATGTTACTGTTTTAGCAGCATATTTGTTCCTTATAGTTTACTGTGTTTTGGTTAGGCTATTTAAAGATGCAGTTTTTTTGTGTGCGTACCTCTGCAGGTAAGACACATGCATGTTTTCTTTAAGATTGTCACTAGGTTTGCCCTATGTGCTGCTCCCTGTGTATTGGAAACAATCTCCTGAATCTGTCTGGAAACATTTTCCAAGCCATGAGAGGCCTCCAACAGCTCCTCGATTTGCGATTTGAGGTTCTGAAGAACAGAGGGATCAGCATCTCTGCGTTTATATTACCACATAAATAATTTTCACTTATCCCTCCTTACTTCAAAACATTTCTTGAAAAAATTGGGGTTACAATAACGCAATTGAAGTGAATGTGACAAATCTTAAAAGAAAATAGAAGTAAAAAAAAAAAGTTATATGTAGACTTCTGTTCTTACTTGCTTTTTGTTTGTAGGGAGGGTCATTTTAGACACTTTGTGTACTCGGGTATCAAAAAAGATACTTTTCTGATATCCCAAAAAAAAAAAAACTTCAAATATTCAGTAAATGGAGCAGGTTCCAGTTTTTAAATGCTAGTCTCTGATGAAAGCGTGTGGCCATCACATTGTATCCTGTATTTTTATCAATGGCTCCAATGCTGTGATAAGCCTTTAGTGACAAACTTAAAATATAAAACATACTCAATTAAATTTGTATAAAAATTACACTCTTACATTACTTGTGACCTTGATGTAATAATTTGCAAAATGTAATACTTCACTAGAAAATTAAAACAGTAATTTTAAAGTGTACACACACAGTCATAGGAAACAATTTGGCCACCTTTAGATAAATTATATGATTTAGCCACATTACATGCTATGTTGACTAAAAAAAGGCATCAATCTATTAAGCCACATTAACAGTTTTAGCCCCTCCCATTTTAAATTATACACACAAATTTGCATATATATATATAGTTGATGTTTGTTCACTGAAAAGATTGTGTTGTATTTTGTTTGGCTAGGGTAGCATAAAAGCGTTGTAATTTGCAGGAAGGGTTTCAGACATTATAGTGCCGCACTCGTACTGACTCTTATTCTGCCTGAAAGAATGAAAAGGCCGTACTGAAGGCGGAGCGATTCGACCAATCAGATGAAAGGGGCGTGTCAGCACCACCCACACGTGCGAATCAAATATTGAAGCCATAAACTTTTTCTAATTTTTCTACTTTCAATATTAAATAAAAAAACGAATGATCGAATGATACACGGATTTACACGGACCAAAGAAGTTGCTTTGTTTCCATGTATCGACTGACGAGAGAAATCAGAGGCGTTTCCTTCAGCCTGAAGATTATTCGTTTCATTTTTGGTGTGAAAGGGCCTTTACAGTAGCCAAAAATATAACTTTTGGGTTTTTTGTTATTAACCGTGTTGGACTCGTTACTCCAAAAATGTAATTTTTTACTCGTTACTAGTTACACTTTTGCGTCTGTTAAAGACGCAGTTGTGTGACGTCATAGTATGTCCCAAAGCTTGCCTACTCTTCTACTGCACACTCAGAAGTGTGTACTTTTTCTTCACAAGAAGAGTACATACTGTAAGGGCGTAGTATAAGTAGGCACATTGAGACGCAGCACGTGACGATCGATCAGAGTAACCTCAATCGCTCGTGCGGAGACGTGACGTCACATCCGGGTCA